TTCACACTAAGGTCATGAATGATGTTAAAGATTTCATGTCCGAAGGCTATGACGAACGCAGAGCCATCAGAATGGCTTTGAATAAGAATCGTCCTGTCCTTGAAGAAATGTGGGATCCCGAGAGTGATATGGAGATCGACGATGCTTCCGAAAGCGAAGACCAAGAGAGAGAGGATGACGATAGCGAGATGGAAGAAGATGAATCCTAAGAAGTCTAAATAACATTTTGAGACTATGTCCATTTATTGTTTGAAAAATGGACTATCGATTTTATATTATTGCATTTACTTGAATAAACAGTGAAAAAAACAGTATTGTTATTTATGTCATCATAAGTCACGTGATTAGGTATTATATAAGGGGTTGGGGTACACTTAAGCTTCATGTTAACGTTGTCCATGCCAGAAGAAACATGTCTTGGGAGGATTATCTCAAGCAAGTGTATTACGATCCATCCGCAGCTGGTAGTTTTACCGGAGTGGATAAATCATTCAGATACGTTCAAAAAGAGGGAAAATATGATATCAGCAAGTACAAGGTACGCAAATGGTTACAGAGACAGGAACCCTACAGTCTCCAGCGACCCGTGAGACGACATTATCGTCGCAATCAGGTCGTCGTCGCTGGCCTTGATGATCAATGGGACGTTGATCTTATGGACATGACCAAATTCAGCAAAGAAAATGAGGGTGTGCAGTTCGTACTCTTGGTCATCGATATCTTCTCCAAGTACCTGTGGATGCGACCTTTAAAGGATAAGAAAGGGCCAACGACAGCCCGGGCGTTCGAAGACGTATTGCGTGAAGGGAAGCAACCTAAGAAGCTTCGCACGGACAAAGGACAAGAATTCCGATCAAAAGCCTTCAATAATGTATTAAAGGATCACAACATAGAACATTTTTATTCTCAAAACACCGAAGTGAAAGCCAACTATGCAGAGAGAGCCATCAAGACGATTAAAACTAAGATGTATCGTTACATGACATTCAAACAATCCCAACGATACATTGATCGTCTTCAGGAATTCGCTCGGAGTTACAACAAGACGTACCACCGCACCATTGACACTGAACCAGAACTGGTTAGACCAAACAACGAAGAAGAAGTGCGCGTATCAACATTCCTGTCTCGAGAGGAGATCCCTCGCAAGCAATCAAAGCGGCCCTACAAGTACAAAGTGGATGATAAAGTGCGCATTTCGAAAATATCATCCATTTTCGACAGGGAATACGATTAAAAGTGGTCTGGTGAAATTTTCATCGTGCTTCAACGTTTCCTGAGGAACGGCATTCCAGTGTACAAACTCAAAGGCTACAATGACGAAGCCATTACGGGGACATTCTATCAACCGGAACTCCAAAAAGTGGATGTTAGAGACGAGGATACGTTTAAGATTGAAAAGATCCTCAAGACCCGTGGAAGAGGACCAAACAAGCAATATTTTGTGAAATGGCTGCATTGGCCAAAGAAGTTTAATTCTTGGATAAATGCTGATGATATGGCTACATAATGTAGTGCAAATACCATTGCTTGCCTTGAAATTATATGTATTCAGACTTATGTCGAAAATATTGCTCTTCATGTCATGCAATAAAATATGAACAAAAACAATGTGTTGTTTTGATCAACCCCTGACTGATCTTTACTCGACCTTCCATTTGATATCTATTCTTTATTTGCACTTGATATGCCCGATAGACCCCTGGACTGAACATAACTCGTCAAGACCTTCCATTTGATATGTCACAATATACCCTTTGGGTAATCTTTTGATTTTGCACTTGATGACCCCAGATCACCCGCGGGCTGAGCACTTCGCGTTGAGACCTTCCATTTGATATGTCACACGATACCCTTTGGGTAATTTTTTATTTTGCACTTAATGACCCCTGACCACCCCCGGGCTGACCTCTCCTCGTCCAGACTTTCCATTTGATATGTCACATGATACCTTTTGGGAAACCTTTTGCTTTTGCACTCGATGACCCCGGAACAACCCCGGGACGACCTCTCCTCGTCGAGATCTTCCATTTGATAGGTCACACGATAGCTTTTAAGTAACTTTTTGATTTGCATTTAATGACCCCGAACCACCCCAGGGATGAAACATAGGTGATTTGAAAATCTGGTTTTCCCGCCTATAGGGTCACGTGACCAAAATTCAAATGCTGTCTTCTGATTGGTTGAAAGTTTGATGACGTCATTGGCGCGAAATTTGAATCGTGATCTATATACGCGCACTCCACTACTCTCCTTGGCCCAATCTGGCTCGTACTTCACACACAGAATACCACTGGTCAATGCATGTGCAGTGACTTTGGTCCAAGTTTCCAGGTCATGGTTAGAATTAGCCTCTCGGTTTAAAATCTTTGTTTGATGCATAATTTTTCCCCTTAATTCCAGTAAATTTATATAACTGAGGATACAAGATAGCTTCGATATATATCTGTAAATTCGCAATATCCGTGAAGTCGTACTAAATGACTTTTACTGTATTACACAGATGTTCCTCTTTTCCTTTTCAACTACCTTACATTTTCATGATCATTGTTGAAAGCGGGGCCCTTTGAGATGGCCACCATCTCAATGATATCTAGTTTGTTATTGATATTATTTGAATTATTTGCAATAAACGGCCATGACAAGCTCGCCAAACAATAAGTATAGTTTCTCATAATTATCCAAAAGAATTACAGGTATGACCTTCCATGCTTTATGCACTATCTACGCATAGATTTGCATGTAGATCATAGGTACATTCCTATTTAGGTTAATATACAGTCTCGAAATAATTAGGTTTATATCATATGGATAAGCCAGGTTATTTCGAGCACAATATTTTTTGCGTATTATTTTTATTATGGGTCAAGAAGGATAACTCTAATTTTGGTGCAACAAATTTAGCGTCATTGAGCATGCTCCATTTCAGCTTCCTTTTCCGTCATTCTCCGAAGGTGTAGGCCGGGAAAATTTTGCTGAAGAATCCCCACCCTCACCGCCCATATTTATAGTAAACATGATGATGGCATATAAATTAAAACAGATTTGATTATTAATTAATGTTAATACTATTCGTATTTAAGGTGTAATTTTGAATTCGTGTTTTTCAAAGAAAAGGTTCTTTCGCTCTGCTAATTTCTCTTTTCAGCGTCATGGCCAAGGTTTCATGGAGACGGTCTCATTCTCGATGTTTGGTCCAGTGACAAGCCTGTTAAAGACTTTGATGAACAATATATTGCTTGATGGCAGAATTTTGCATAGAATACCATCTCCGGGGGGCACTGTTTTTTCCAGGTCCCTCGGGCCAAGATGGTAGTTCTACTGCTTGTGTATATGTTTGTGTGTATGCTGCCATATCTTTGTATGATCGGCGCATAATTTGTCATTGATATTATTTGAATTATTTGCAATAAACGGCCATGACAAGCTCGCCAAACAATAAGTATAGTTTCTCATAATTATCCAAAAGAATTACATGTCTGACCTTCCATGCTTTATGCACTATCTACGCATAGATTTACATGTAGATTATAGGTACATTCCTATTTAGGTTAATATACAGTCTCGAAATAACGTTTCCTTATTGCAAACTCGGACGCTAACGCCTGTCATCTCATGTCATCATGTAACTATCTTTTACAAAAAAAATAGGATGATATTAAAAATGATAAATGCATGTAATTAAACATTTATTTTCATTATATTTAAGGTTTTAAACCAATTTATTGATAAAAAAACTGAAGCCATTCATACCTGATTATTTAATATAAATATGAAAAACATGATTAGGATTAAATAAAATAAATTAAAGATACACTAAAAGTATATATGTAATTTCCACAAGGAACGTATTACCATAAACTTTGTCCTTTTCTAGATACATTTCATTAAGAAAAACATGATCTTTGTATTCTTTTGTTTATTAATTATTTTCTTATGGATATCTTTATACATGAAGGATATGGAGATAACGAACAGTATTCAATCTCAAAGTCCATAAAACAATACAGAACAAGAGCAGAGCAAACAAGGACCTCCGAAACATCAGGGATCAGATGCCATGGAGGAGTGAGCATCCATGCCGATCAGTCACACCCGCCGTGTGCTCATTGTCATGATCGTGAAATAAAGGAAAAATCCGTCGTCAATTCAGCACATTTAATTCAAATCAGTCGCTTTTTTGTTTATTGAAAAGATAGCGTGAGCATATCTGATATTTATGTGCATGTAATTATCATCAACCCACTCTTTTCTTGAAAATATTATTTGGTAAGTTTTTCCCTATATATTTCAATCTAAAAGTTTGATTAACTACGAGTTTGGCCTCTCCATTCCCCGGGAACCATTATATTTCAAGGACAAACTTTGATTTAATGTTATAGTCTCACCCTTATAATCCTTCTATAAGTATGATCTTTTGTAATACAGTACGCAGCATGGCTAAAAGGGACCCAGAAAAAGAAGAACAATTTGAAGAGGAAATTGATGTAGCCTTCTTCCTAAAAACAATGAACCTTGATCATCTTATAGATATTTTTGAAGAAGAAAATATAAGCATGGACATATTGAAAGAAATGACGCATGATGACTTGAAAGAGATAGGAATAAAATCTTATTGTGACCGTCAGACAATTATTAAAACAGCAAGGAAAGTTAAAGGTAGGAATATGATTCATGAAGGAAGAAACTGATATTCAAAGTTATATTCCCATTTTGCCAACTTAATCTTTTTAATTTACAAGATAAAACAAAAGTCAGCGGAGGAAAAGTGTCAAGTCCAATTAAAGTCTTCCACTCAATGTCCAGTTTTCTGCAGAAAAAAGGTAGCTCATTTCTTTTTTAATTCTAATTTTTCTTTCTTTAGAAAACAATACAAATTCAATGTAAATTAATGCATTCTTTTGAGATCGTGTTTAATAGCACGTATAAAATTTATATTTAGAAGTTTATATTCTAAATACTTTGTAAAAGTTTTGAAGACAACATTTGGCAAGGAGCAGATGGGAAAAGCATTTTCCAGACTGTACGTCAAACTTCCGAGGAGAACTTCAGAAACAGACAATACAAATGAACAGAAAGGTATTGCAATAAGTGGATGGGAGCTTTCTTCTGTACTAGGCTAAAGCTAGCAGACAATAACAGCAGCCACTCAGCCCTTTGAATTATCAGCCATTATGAAAATTCATCAAAGAACCGAGAAAACTTTGATGCAATATTGTTTAAATTTAATACTTTTTTTTAGACAAATAATAATTCATAATTAGATAATCAATGCAAGGCTTAATCACTTTATGAGTCAAGGACTCGTAAGAAGTAAAGTTCACCTGCATAAGAAAACAATGTAGTTTTAAAACAGAAAAAAGAAATGTCAAATTCCTCAATCTTTGACCACTTAAGAACCTCAGGAGTAGTACGGAACCGAAAAGCTAGGTCCATAAGGCTATTATATAAGGCATAAAAATAATGTAGTTTTAAAGCACAAAAACAATGCCACCATTTTTGACCACTTAAGAACAAACCAGCATTGGAAATAGGCTATAATAAGTACCTGCACAGGAGAATCCCTTTTAAGCTCTTTGACGAGTCTCAGGAATAGGACGGGGCCGATAAGGTAGGTCGATAGGGCTATGATTTATATGGGAGTATGTATTAGAAAAAATACTGCTGTTGAAAAGGGGGCCATGTTGTGGTGTCACTAAGTTATGAAATGGCTCCAGAGCATACCGGTATTTCCCTCATTGTTTTCTTCACCATCTTTTGCAAACTAAACAAACCAACACTCGGGAAGGGTAGGGAAGCATAAAAAGTATCCTTGTTAAGCTAAAGAAGTGATAAGTAGGACAGCAGAGCATGTTAGATTATCAACACCTTATATATATATATATATATATATATATATATATATATATATATATATATATATATATATATATATATATATATATATATATATATATAAGAAAGAATTGATAACGGTTAGAGATTCATACTTTTCAATATATATCGGTATAATAAAACAATCAATTAGCCCTTGTGAGTTCAACATGGTGAAATAAGGACCCTCGACCTGGCCCACTCGATGACCTGCCCTGTCCTCGGCCGCGACGCGGCCGAGGTCAGGACAGGTCACCTCGTGGGCCAGGTCTTGGGTCCTTATTTCACCATGTTGACCTCACAAGGGGTAATTAGTTTTATAATACAAACCTATCGCAGGATTGTTTTTAATCATTTGGAAGTCTTACAAATAGCAAACTAGAAAAGGAAAACACGGAGGTTACAAACTGTATTCTGGATAATTTTTTTTTTAATTTTCAACGAAGGATGTTTGTAAATGAAAATGGCGTCCCCATGAAGCCTTCCATATAAATATCTTTTTATTCAAATTCAGACTATATAATAAAACAACTATGAAGAGTCTTTTGATGTTGAAAATGGTTTGCTTTTCACCAGAAAAATATCAATATTGACCTAGGCTTCGCCTATGGGCTTAGTAGCTGCTGTAATTGGCTGCTAGCTACAATCTATGTTGTTTGTTTGTATTAATATTGGAAGGAAATCTGACACCTTGGAATGAAAAAGAGCTGTCGTTTCATAGTATTCTTGCTGAAGAGATCTAGAGTGTATGTGAAGGGTTTCTATTAATACAAAAGTGACCTGTGGTTTTAATGAGATGGATTTACATGTATATAATAAAACAACTACGGATGTCATTTGTTTCGCTGATAATGTATTTAATTTTTAGTTTTTCTAATTTTTTATTCCATCCATTCTTTGATGCAGTATTGCCATCGGTCAAAATTTATCCGAAGGGTGAAATTAGCGTTGGAGTCGGTGGAACTATTCAGTTACGTTTACACCTTAATATAAAAGAGAACTTTGAAGTATGGTGGAAATATGGTCATGAAAATGCTGATGTTGGTGACATTCTAAAGACAGAAGATCTAAAATACGCAGGAAGTCAGTCAACAGTATTGCAAATAAACAACATCGATGAAAGCGACGAAGGAATGTATCAGGCACTTGTTAAAAATTCTGTAGGAGCTGGAGAAAGTTCTCAAGTTTTTGTTAAAGTAATTGGAGGTAATTTGTATTTATATAATGATAATATTGCTTTATTTGTTTGATTAGCTTCCCTTTGAACATTTTACACGTATATTGAGACGCTACTACTTTTCGGTGGAAGGCTGCAAATGGTTTGTACAGAATCTTTTTCGTGCCAGCACCTATTCCGATGCGAGACCTCAATTTATACAGTCTCACCCAAAAGACCGGTGTTACAACGCACTTTGAAAAATTACGCACTTTGAAAATTTTTTTCAAAGTGCGTTAAAATTTGGGACTAAGCTAACGCACTTTGAAAAAAAATATTTTTTTTCAAAGTGCGTTAATATCAATCATATTAACGCATTTTGAAAAAATGTAAAGATTGATCAATATTCCTTCAAATAATCGGTATGATAAATAACAGATCCTGGTTTGATAACTTTTTTATGATAAAGTCACTGTAGGACCTGAGATATTGACGTTTTAAATATTTAAGGTTTTGATAAAATAAAGGGAAAATAAAAGGGTCTTGAAAAAAGAGTGACGATTGTTTAAGTTCATTGATTCGTTTTTTTTTTAATTCTAGTCTTTGATAAGTAGATGTAAAGGTGTATAGGGGGCACTAACAGTGGACAGCTTCAAGCAACTTAACATTTAACATAATAAAAAGGGACCAATTTGATTGTTCAAAACTATGAAAAATTTTTCTCTCTCATACGTTTTACTGTACTTAAAAATTTCTAGTTTTCATCTGTTTTAATTAACTCATTTATTATTGAAAGTTTTCAACGTCATAGCAGTTAGGTAAATACATAATTATATGAATGCTTTGAGTATAGCATAGACATCGAGAATGGGTGAATGGCCAGGGGAGGGGATGGGGGGTTAAGCCCCCCACTTATACATCGTATCAGCATTGAAAATGCAGCGTACCGTTTTTAGGTTCATTGCTCCCCTCCACCGTTTGTTACCGACACCTATGTATTGGAAAAATTAAAGATTTGGACTGAGGGATCTTATACCCGTCTTCATCCTCCTTTCGACGGGAGTAAATCAATTCATTTTTGAGGTTAGGGTTAGGCTTAGTTTTTTGAAAGATAAATAGCAAATAAAATCTTTTCATGACTAAAATATGATTTTTTTTTTCAAAGTGCGTTAAGTGTGTCCATGGTAAAAAATATTGATGTAGACTCTTGACGCACTTTGAAATTTTTTTTTCAAAGTGCGTTGAGTTGGTCCCAAATTTAACGCACTTTGAAATTTTTTTTTCAAAGTGCGTTGATTTTGTCCCAATTTTAACGCACTTTGAAAATTTTTTTCAAAGTGCGTAATTTTTTCAAAGTGCGTTGCCACAGACCGGTCTCCATGCATGCTCCATGAACCCAGAATTAATCCGCGACAGAAAAAGTGCAAATTAAGTTTAGTTAGTAAATAAGATAGTCGTATAGTTATACACGGCATTGATAAAAATTAAAGAAAAAAAAGCATAAAACACATCAGGTGTGTCTAGATTCTTAGAAGAACACTATGAAATTCCAAAATACTTGTCACATTAAAATGCATATATGTAACGTGAAGCGGTCACCCATCCAAGGGTTAAAGAGGCTCGCCGTTGCTTAACTTGCCTGAAATAGAGGGAGACTCTACCGCATCACCAGAAAAGCTAGCTCACTGGCGAGGCAGTATAAGTTCCCTATATACTGTCCGCTACACTTCCCCCCGCTCAGGGAAGCTTCGACCCGAAGCTTAGCATGAGTTCTCTCTGAGTGACTGGGCCTCTTCAGCTACAGCAACCAATGCCGTTCCCGGACACGAAGTCCGTACCTGGACACAAAGTCCTAGCCTTACAGCTTCCTGAAGCAGATCGAAACCTAACTTCAGATACGGCAACCCCTGCCGTCCACAGACACGAAGTCTGTATATGGACACTAAGTCCAAACTCTAAGACTTCCTGAAGCAGGACACCAGACACCCAGAGTCACTACGCTGCCACTAATTTTGTAACGTGAAGCGGTCACCCATCCAAGGGTTAAACAGGCTCGCCGTTGCTTAACTTGCCTGAAATAGAGGGAGACTCTACCGCATCACCAGAAAAGCTAGCTCACTGGCGAGGCAGTATAAGTTCCCTATATACTGTCCGCTACATATATATTATAAGAGTACATGTACTTAGTAAAGTAAATGAGCGAAACTGGCGTAAAAGTCGGGTAAAAAAAATTTGGTATTATGCCAAACTTGGTTGCCATAGCAATCAAAATAATCTTGTTTCAATGACTGGAAATTCAAGAAAACAAATTATTATTATTTTTTGATGGCACAAAATAAAATAAGAACTTTATATACAAAGAAACCTTAATATTCAATGAAAAAGGAATGCTTCTATCTATACTGCTCGTTATCTCCTTATGTTTCGTTCAATTTGAAATAAAAAAAAATTCTTTTTATTTTTTACTCACCTCAACGAAGTTGGGGAGAGTTTATGAAATTCCCTCGGCGTTGATGTAAGCGTCCTAAGATAAAGTTTTTGGAGCACATTTCCGTTCAATTACCTATGACTTATATTAATCAGAATTGCATAGACGATGCTTCTATTTGTTTTGTATGTATGAGTTAAAGTTTTGGATGCTGCATTTTCAGATAAAGAATGAACAGGTTAATATTTCTAGTGCAAATTCAAGCGTTTAGTGAAGGTTTAAGTTTTTTTTAATATCCAAGGTCAAGGTCAAAATGTCAAAGTTGTTGGTGTCCAATGAAAGGTCTGGTTACATAGAATATATGTGCGAAGTATGACAGTCCTACTACAAGTATCTACCGTTCAAAAGTTAAAGCCAAAGTTAAAGTTTGAAATCTTTGTGTAAAATTGTCTCAAACTCCAAAGTCGAGGTCAAAAAGTCAAATTTGGCGGTACCCACCGAAAAAGGCTTGTCACAATTAAGGAACACGCATGTGAAAAATGAAAGTGATGGCTCTACAAAATCAAAAGTTATGGCAAGGTTAAAGTTTTTGCAGACAAACAGACAGACATGGCAAAAGCTATATACCCCCGAAGGCATAAAAAAATACGAATAACATTCATTTGATAAAATAAAATAATATATCACTCTATCATATTAAAAGTAACAAGATGTGTTTGTGAAAAATTGATGCCCCCGTAAGGTAACATGGCAAAGATTTAACTTTTCTCGTGTGTAAATTAAATATGTTGGTACCCAAAGTAAGGTCTTTTCAAAGAAATACAGTTATGAAATATGAAAGCCTTGTCACCATCTGTTCAAAAGTTATATGGCCAAGGATAAGTTTTAGAAAGATAGGTCAAACTCCAGCGTTAAGGCCAAAAGGTCAAAGTGTTGGTTACTGAAAAAAGGTCTTGTCACAAGAATTATATTTATGAAGTTTGAGAGCAATAGCTCTAACCGTTCAAATATTATGGCCAAGGTTAAAGTTTTTAAAAAGTAGGTCAGACACCAAGGTCACAGGGTCATGGTTTTTGGTATCCAATAAAGGGCTTTGTTACAAGGATTAAATATGTTATGTGTGAAAGCCTAATCTTAACCCTTTAAAAGTTATGGTCAATGTTTGCTTTTTAAAAGTAGGATAAAATTTAAGGCAAAGGGTAAACAATGTTTGTATTAAATGAAAGGTCTTCCTAGAAGGATTACATATTTGAAGTTTAAAAGCCCTAGCCCTTACCGTTCAAAAGTTATGGTCAAGGTCAAAGTTAAAGTTGAAAAATGAAAGCCATGGCTCCACTAAATCAAAACATCTTTCAATGAGATAAATATTTTTTACCTTTTGACTTTTAACTTGAGTTTGACGCACTTTTAAAAAAAATGTTAACCTTGGTCATAACTTTGGACTAGTTAGAACTAGGGATGTCACAAGAATATATTTTTGTGCCAAAAATTTCTTAGGATACTAGCAAATTTGACCTTTTGACCTTGGAGTTAAACTTGTTTGAGATCTTGATCCTTTGCAATAACCTGACAAACGAGGACCTCAGTATTTTTCAAACACTTCTTGTTTTTACATAAATTGATTTCTCATTATTAATTTATTGGAAAATGTATATTTCAAACTCTCCGTATTAAAAAAATCTGATTCGAATAGTCTTTGGTGCTTTCTAAAAATGAAATACCATTTTACAACTTCCATATGATTGATTGATAGTAATGTCACAAAGAATCAATTACTTGTGATACAAAGGGGGTTAATACACCGATAAATATTCCATTCGAAATACTTGTCAGAAGAATGCCTATTGTTAAGAAGTTTTGCTTTTAAAATTCGCATAAATAATTGACAAAAATATCTTTTATTGAGATAAATATGAATTGATTTATGTTAGTTGAGATGATTACTGACAAGTTCTCTTAAAACGCGTAAGACTCAAGTTTTTTTTAATGTTGCAGTTAGTTATTGAATTGCCAGTGACAGGTTGACTTTCTAGTTGGGACCAAGTTTTATTGTTTGTCATGTTTTATGAGTTTATCTTAGAATATTCCAGAGACTGCATGTCCCAAATTTTTCGCCTGAATCCTGGATGAAATCCAGTATACATGTCATAAGTCATGAACCGTGAGAGATAAAGACTTCATATTTAAAATGCATATAGCACCAAAAAATTCTGTCAAATGCCATCAAGGTCAATGACCTTGTGACCTTGATTGTGACCTTTATGCTAATTTTTTCCCAAACTTTTGCCAGAACATTTGAACCATAGGAGATAGAGAATTCATATTTGGTATGCATACTCCACTAGCTAAATTCTTGACTGTGACTTATATGCTAATAATAGGTTTTTTTTTTATTTCCATTACTTTTGAACCATAGGAGAAAGGGTCTTCATATTTAGTATGCCTACTCGATTAATTAAGTTCTTTCAAACGCCACCAAAACCAAGGTCAATGGCCTTGTGACCTTGACTGTGACCTATATGCTAAAAAGCTTTTTCGAACTTTGTTGCCGCTGGCTGCATAGTGTTTTATAAACATATCTTGTTTTTCTTATTTTAAGGAACTACAACGTAACATATTTAAGCGGCAATTAAACAATCATTCTTCAATTAAAATTTCATCGGGTGTTATAATTCTTTCTTTAGAATTGGATCCAAATATGATATCAGGCGAGGAGAACAACTTTCTTCGTTTATATATGTTATGCCAAAAATACGGTACTGAAGCAGTTCGTATCCTCTTTGACAATACAATTCCTCCTTCTACTTTGGAAGAGCATTTGGATAACCATGAACGTGATATTATGAGGAAATGTAAATTAAGCGGATCCCAAATAGACATCGTTTTCCCGAGTAAGTTTATTTTTTACAGAATATATGCGTTTTTGATCTATGATAATAATTGGATGTATTGGCTTAATGAAATAATTGATCGAACATTTACAGAACGTTTAAGAAATAAAGATTTACCATTTACACCATAATAAAAAAAAATAGTATATTAACATACATGTCCACCTGTTGATGTACAATTATCCCTATATTGTAAAAGTTTGAAAATATATCGATATACAAACAGAGGTCCCCAAGTGTTTTTGTCACAATCATGCATTCCTGCTCTGCTATACAATGGAACTAACTAAATGGATACATTTTTTTCAAGTGTCATGCTCAACAAAACCCGATAAAAATGGAATCCTAATGCTAAATATGGCTTAAACAATGAAAAATTCTTATGGTTGATTTAGTTAATTCTCCGCCAGTGACATCGACACAATTCGACATCACCATCATGTATTCCCTGCTTCGAAATACAACAAACCTAGCACCACCTAAGTACACATGGGCGCAGAGTATAGACGATATTGGGCCAAATGACATCCTACCAGTTCATGACCTTGAGAGGATCAGATTATTCAGGAACGATCTTGCCCATTCTCAGGGTTCCGTTTCTTTGAAATATACAGAAAAGGAATTTAACTCTATGTGGCAGAATTTGGATATGGTAAGTGCACTACCACCTTATAAATTGGCTCAAGCGGGGTTTCAGTTATATGTAACATAAAGGGTTCCGAAGCGGCGATTTTTTGCATGAGGAAGATATATTTACTCTATGAACTCTATGCTAATGAAATCTTAGGGGCCAAATGACATATGTACAGATTGTAAGAATGTATAAGCTAATTAAGCTTCCAATTTGAAAGCGTTACGAACTGTGCTCACACTTCTGGACAGTTCAGTCGACTGGGAAAAATTAATTGTGGTTTCGCTGACATTCTTTGCTTTTTCACTTTACAAAAACGGCCGTGCAGACGTCATTCTAAGGATGGTAGATAAAGACTTATACCCCAAAAAATCTATGAAATTTTTTTCTCGATTAACATTATTTATTTCTGTTAGAAAATAATGTAAACTTCTGTAGCCAAAGTTTCCTTTCAGGGTTTCAAAGTTTAGCACCAAAGGGGGTTTCTGCTCAAGGTTTTTACCTTGTTTTAATCTTTGTTTTCTTTCAAGAATATGGAAATCCTGGTCCATTTACTACGAAGAAAGAGGAATAACCACATGGAAGGCCAAATATTTGTATGTCACGCGTTAATTATAAGAATTTAAGCATTGACTTTTTTATTTTGATATCGTTGGTCGTATAACAGTGCCTGGCCCCGTGCATACCAGCAATTTGAAAACCGTCGTTTTCGCCGTGTGATTATCACGAATTTCATTCAGTGGTATGAGAGGAGATACGGATAAGAGCTAGACAGACGTACAGACGGACGGACGGACATAACGATTACTGCATACCCTCCCATTTTTCAAGCGGGGGATATAATAAGAATTCAGTGTTTATAAACATTTTCTAATTTTCTCTCTTTATACTTGTTAATACATTAATTTTTATTATACCCCCCGCCTGAAAAGTGGGAGGGTATATAGTAATTGGTGTGTCCTTCCGTCCGTCCGTCCATCCGTCTGTCTGTCTGTCTATCCGTCCGTCTGTACGTCCGTCCATCCGTCTGTTACGCTTTTGGGTACCCATCTCTTATCCGCAACTCCTCTCATACCACTTGAAGGAAATTTAATGAATTTACTTTCACAGAATCTTTATAACATATTGTCATTGTTTACCTCCTATTTTACTTTTTGATCTCACATAAATTTTGGATTTTCCAGAGCAAAACACTGATACTGTCATTATAACCATATTGGGGGCGGGGGTATTATTTAGTGAGCTCATTGCTCACAGTACCTCTTATGTTATGTGAAAGTGTCTTTTAGAACTGTTTTGCTGAAAAAAGGCAAGAGCCATTCGTGATATTGATTATCAAACAAAATTGCGAGGGGGAAATGAGGACTTAATTTAAGCATAAGCGTACATTTGTTATTTTTTACAAATATTTAACAGGGTAATTGCATGTTTTAATATAACACACATGTTGATGTTCAAAGAGTACTCAGAATGCATAATTATAATTAATTTATTATTCCTACTATGTATTCTGCTGCGCCGTGAAAAGGCTAGGTGTGAATTCTTTTACATTTCCAATGGATTTCATAAAGAACTGAATGTTTTACAGATATGAACTCCTTCCCACATTTGCTACATGTACAAAGAAACTTGTTTCCTTGTGTATGAGACGCAATGTGCCTCGTGAAAGAGCGTTCATATCTGTAAATCTTTGCACATAGATTTGATAAACATTTTGCTTTCCCTGTGGTCATATAATTTTTCTTGGTTAAGGAATGGACCAGGATTTACATAGTCTTGAAAATAAACTAGAGGTACTGTGAGCAATGAGCTCACTAAATGATACCCCCGTCTCCCATATCGTTATAACTGATGACAAAGTCCATGTTTTGCTGTGGCTGGGAAACCCAAAATATGTGTCGGATCAAAAAGTAAAATAGGGGGTGCACAATGGCAATAAGAAGGATTTAACAAGAAAAAACCCCTTTGATGCCAAACTTTGAGTTAGGCACAGTATAATTTGGCCACAAACTTTATATTTCTTTTATATTTTTTTTCTTTTCTTTTCTGATCCCACCTCTGATGTTTCGGAGGTTCGTGTTTGCTCCGCTCTGATTTTGTATATTGTTTAATGGACTTTGAGATGAATACTGTTCGTTATCTCCATATCCTTCTTTTACAAATAAAGATTGTTAATAGAGAAAAAAAAATGCATGGATTGTTTATGCATCAGTCTTTATCTACCATCCTCAAATGAGCTCTACACAAGCGTTTTGTAAAGGTAAAGTAAAGAGCAAAGAATGTCAGCGAAACCATAACTTTTCCCAGTCGACTGAACTGTCCAGGAGTGCTAGCACAAATCGTAACGCTTTCAAACAGAGTTTTGGAAGCTATTACATTCTTACAATCAATGGCATATCGTTTATCCCTCAGGAACTCATTAGCATTTTTTAACAAATATATCTGCCTCATGCAAAAAACACCGCTTCGGAGTTGAAACTCTTTATGAAACATAACCGAAACCCAAAATGTGCCCTTTACAGAGTGACTGCTAATATGTTAATTTAATTTAACAAAAAGTAAAAAAAAATATTATAAGTTGGACATAGATTTGAGGTTATTATTTTCCAAAATATTAAAACTAATATCATGACTTGATAGAACATTTTAAATTAAAATATAATAAAAGTGTATTCCGAATCTTGTATTATCTGGGAATTATTAAACTACACTGGATATGTTTGATTCACACATGTATCCTTACACTTTCATGAAGCAAACGTAACTCTTAAAATTGAATAGAAATGGAAAAAATATTGGCTTTTATTAAAAATATTAAAACTATAATCCCGAAAAGAAATTGATTGGTTGGTTGGTTATATACTGTTTAACGTCCCTCTCCAGAATATTTCACTGATATGGAGACGTCACCATTGCCGGTGAAGGGCTGCAAATTTAGACCTTTGCTCGGCACTTACGGCCTTTGAGCAGGGACGGATCTTTATCGTGCCACACCTGCTGTGACACGGGGCCTCGGTTTATACGGTCTCATCCGAAGGACCGCCCCATTTAGTCGCCTTTTACGACAAGCAAGGGGGTACTGAGGACCTATTCTAACCCGGATCCCCACGGGGCTCGAAAAGAAATTGAGTAGGAATTTGAAAAAGAAAAACCAATTTATTTATCTTGTCAGTTCGTGTTCATATGTGCAGAGTCAACGAATTGAGCACCTCTGGTAAATGTAAACGTTAACCTAATTAAATTAGAGATCATGCTCTTCTTGACAATCGAAAATGTTTGACTTGATATTTTGAAGAGTGTTGTTGTCAGTTGAAGTTAATAATGTTCAAAGTATAAGATGAAAATTCAGTTTAAAAGAAGGATATGGAGATAACAAATGGTATTCAATATCAAAGTCCATAAATTAAACAATACAAAATAGGAGCAGAGCAAACACGGACCTCCGAAACATCAGAGGTGCATGGGATCAGGTGCCATGGAGGAGTGAGCATCTCCTGCTGACTGGTCACACCCGCCGTGTGTTCCTTGTCATAAATTTATTTTTTATCAAAAAAAAAGAGATTTAACATAAACAAGATATGATTGTGAAACAGTAATGTCCCCGTACTGCAGTTTATGGCAAAGGTTAAAGTTAATTGTCAATATTCATGTCTTCTTAAAGTGGGCCAAACTCCAAGATAAAGGTCAAAACATCAAACTTAATGGTACACAAGGTAAGACCTTGAGATTAAAAATGCAAAATTTAAAAATTTCCTGGCATTTTATGGGACGGTTAATGTTTTTTATTCAAAAGTATGTCATACTTAAAGGTCAAAGTCAAAATTGTTGATATCTAACGTAAGGTATTTTCATAAAGAGTATATTTGTGAAATTTGAAAGCCCTAGTACTTACATTTCTAAAGTTATGTTCCAAGTTGAAGTTTTTTTTAAAGTGGGCAAACTTAAAGATCGAGGTCACAAAGTCAAACATGCATATATCAATACAAGTGGAAAGAACTTGTCACAATGAATATTCATGTGAAAAAGGCAAATTCAAGGGGACGTCATTTTATATAACATATTGTGTCAAATCTTGTCATAGGTAATGCACATGTCAAATATGAAAGCCCTATCTCTTCTCAATCAAAAGTAATAAGGAAGTGAAACAATGATAACCCCAGATGACAAAATAGCGAAGATTTAACTTTTTTTAAAAGCAAATTAAATATATTGGTAACCAATGTAGGGCCACTTCACAAGAAATACGATTTTGAAATATGAAAGCCCTAGCACCATCTTTTTAAAAGTTATGGCCAAGGATAAGTTTTTGAAAGATAGGTCAAACTCCAAGGTCAAAGAGTCAAAGTTGTAAGTATCTTAAAAAAAGGTCTTGTCACAAATTTTAGATAGGTGAATTCCTTGCCCGAACCGTTCAAAAGTTATGGCCACGGTTAAACATTTAAAAAAAGTAGGTCAAACTTCTCTAAAAGTAGGACCAACTCCAAGGTCAACGTCAAAGTGTCAAAGTTTTTATATCCAATGTAAGGTCTTGCCACAAGTATTACATATGTGAAGCCTTAGTATCTGTTGTTCAAATGTTATGGCTAAAGTAAAAGTTTGGTGTTTTTTTGTAAAAGTGGGTCAAACTCCAAAGTCAAGGTCAAATTCGTAGGAACATTGTACCCAAAGAAAAGTCTTGTCACAAGGAAAACACATGTGAAATATGAAAGTCATAGCTCCTCTAAATCAAAAGTTATTGACAGACGGACGAATGAGATTTAATGTCCACTTGCTTTCATGAAAGCGGGGGACAATAAGAAAGTAAAGTTTGAAAAGTAATGACAAAGGTTAAAGTTGGGTAATTTTTTTTCAAAAGCGGATCAAACTCCAATCTCAAGGTCAAGAGATAAAATGTTGGACCCATAAAAAGAGCTTGTTACATAAATGCACATATAAAATATGAAAGTTATAGCCTCAAACAAACAAATGTTACGACTAAGGTTAAAGTTTCTGTGGACAAATAGACAATTAGAAACACAGAAAGAAAAAAAAACTATATACCTCCCAGTCTTTCGGATATGACCTTATAAACGAAGGTATCATGACACGGTAGGCGTTTGCACAATAAAGAATCCTCAATGTTCAATGGCCCTGAGTGCAAGTATAGGTCTAAATTTGAAGTCCTTCTCCCGCATACGGTGTATCTGAATGAGTGAAAAAATCTCGAATGGGACGTTAAACAATACACAATCAATCATTTGTAAGTTACTTGCTCATATTCTTAATCTTCAAAAGTTTTTTTTATTGCCCCAGCAGTATATGATTACATGAATGGCGCCAATGTTGGGGAGCACTGGATTCACCAAATTGACAGACAGATTAATTTAAAGACATTATAGTGCATAGTACATATACATAGAATATTTAAAAAATTGAATGATATACATTGTAGTCATACTTTCAAGATGAAAAATATTTCCAAGAAATGACATTAACATCTCTGTGATATATGATGATACTGATCAAATGACTATTCACTTTATCATGTATATATGAACATGTTACATGGCACTATTATTTGTAAGTGAACTACTTTTAATATGAACACTATAAATTCGATCAGGACAATTTTTCAATGAAAGAAAAAAAAAGACCAAAAAAAAAACAACTAACAAATCCTTTCACACCACATTCATACAATACGTGTATGTATTGACAGATAAGTTATCCAAAAAACAAACAAAAACGGATAGCATAGTGATTTTAAACAAGTACATCATTATTATAAGCATGTACAAGTACAATTTTAACCATTAGAAAACAGTGGGAAAAAACACCCCATCTCTTTTCAAATACAGGCAGATGGTTATTTTTTTAAACATAAATCTTTTTTAGCTCCATCAATGGTTGGTAATGTCTTACAAAGTCTTTTCTTATAAATATGTCTTTTTACTATACATATTAAAAGGTTCAGTATAATATGGTATTTACCATCTCTACCAAGTATTACATCTATAAGGTTTATTTCAATGTTCTGGTCAGTTTTATCATTTATCCATTCTACTAGATTATTCCATAGTATATCAAAAGTTATCGGGCAGTTTCGATCTGTACCTGTATTAATTGCCAGGGTATGGGGCAACATGAAAACAATAATAAACATATTCATACAGATTTTATGGTTACAGAAGGAGAATAGTGCCTTACACCGGTAGACCCCGGATTGACTCAGCAAAAGAGAAATAACTTTTGTAAATGTGAAAATATAGACGTTAAATTTGTATTTGTCAAACAAAGATACATATTTACCATTCTCAGCATCAGTGTGTGACAAGAGTTTGCCAAGAGTTTTTGAAAACTTTTATGTTGGAAAATGATATAATTCATATTTTATAAGATGCAGATTAAAATACTTCTACTCTTTCACATATAAAATAACAACCTATTTTTGTAAAACAAATCTTCGTAACAAGAAAATTTAAGATTTATGATAAGCATAACTTACTGAATTTGAACGAATATGTATTTTGTATAGGCAATATACCGTCTAAGTTATGGTGCCCTTGCCAATGAAACACAGTCACTGTTGACAAGGAAATTTGATAGATCCTCACAACATGGAGTCATGGAAGAGTTAAAGCAAATGGGTAGGAGACTCTTGGTTCTGGAAAAAGAATGTCACATCCCTATTCATATAAAAGGTATGTGAAAAATTAACAATGTGTGAAATACATTCGGTCATGGAATTTTACATTGACACATTCTTTAATATTAAAATAGCGAAAGAATAGTGTTCATGTTTTAAAAAAAAAAGAATTAAACGGTACCATGTTTCTCATGCATCTTAATCCATCGATATGAATATTTTATTTCTTACATGGTAATACAAGCATATATAATTTTATGTTCTTATGAATACAGAACAACACAAGCAGGTACTGCAAAAATGGATAGTTCATGGGGAATCTTTTCAAGAAACAAGGGCTTATAAAAGAGCGAAAGAGATAATCGACGAAAGAGGAGTTCTGTTTATTGTTGGTGGTCCAGGAAGCGGGAAGACCTTTATTGCAAGGCATTTAGCTATTCAGTTTCAGACACAAAAGTGGGAAATCATTCCTGTTGGAAGCCCTGATGAAATCCGGCAATATTTGTATCCTGTGATAAATCAAATGTTTGTCCTTGACAACCCATTCGGAAGCTTTGGTTTAGATATGTCAAAGTATGATTGCTTCATGGAATTGTTTGACTATCTTTCTTGTCTTTCAAAAGTATCTTCTACAAAAATTATATTTACCTGCAGAAAAAATGTGTATGTAGAATGCAACGATCTTGAGCCTTTTCCTTTCGAAGCAGAAAGTACTATAGATATAGAAAGCAATGAATACCATTTAAATGGTGAAGAAAGATTAAGAATTCTAGAAACTTACTGCATCAAAAGAAACATCCCCAAGGTTACCTATGAACATATTTCTGTTGAAAACAATTATCCAATGTTCCCTCTTTTATGTAGCTTACTTCGTGAGGGAATGGACATACACCAGAGACTAAACCATCCTATAGAATGCTTGCAAAAGGAGCTTCTAATTATGCGAAAGTGTGAATCCATTACCTTCGTCGTTCTAGTATTATGCGTGTTTCGAAATAATACTTGTGCAGACAAATTCCTTGATGAAAACAGACAATTATTATCAGAATTACTATCAAATTGTGGACTGAGTCATAACACGCCTATATCAGCAATACGTGATGCTTTCATTAAACTTGAAGGAACCTACCTCTCAGACGTGAAGGACAGGATAACGTTTACCCACGATTCAGTATTTGAAGTTGTATCTCATATGTATGGAAAGGAAAACACACGGCATTTTCTCGAGAACATATCTTTTGAATACCTTAACAATAATGTTGAGATTGTGACATCTAGAAAAATCAGTTCAAATTCGTCAATCCTGCAGCTACAACTAGAAGATTGTTTTCATTTGTCAGTACGAATATATAATGAAATAAGACAATTGAATTACCATTTAGTTTTCGGATCAAAAAAGTCTTTTCTTAAAGACACTAAATTCATAACATCTTTTCTTCGATTTCTGGATTGGGTCCAATTTGCGGAAATTGTAGATATGTTTCTGGTAGATCATTTACATAGTTCAAAGTGGTTTGATTTTGAGGATGTGTATTCATTTCAAGGACACAAAAGCTTCCGTCGAAGAATTCTTACGAGTCACAGCTCTGATAAAAATATGCAAAAAGTGCGAGCATTAAGCTGGGTACTGGCATTCGGTCACAAGGAAATACTTTGCTATTTGATAAAAAGAGCAAAAGAAGAAATGCATGGAGAACTCACAAGACTCGAAGTTTGGGAATTGTTCCTCACAGATGACCTACAAGAGCAAACAAGATTATTAATGTTAGCATGTCTAAGTGGAGAATTAAAAATTGTGAATTTTGTGACTCGACACTTCGATAATGATTGTTTGAAGATTGAATACCCTACTGGGCTTTATGTCCCAATCCTTGTCAGTTGTCTAACGCCATATCCTCACGTTGTAGAGGCTCTTATACGTGCTGGAGCAAATGTTAATGCCACAGAAAATGCGTATTATAATGTGCGTGATACCTCCATTTTAATTGCTGTAAAAAATAAGCATACATTTGTCGTTAAAGTTCTTATTGAATACGGAGCTGATGTTAACAAATGCAACTTGAATGGCGAAACACCATTAATTATTGCATCACGAATCGGAAGCTTAGAAATTGTTAAACTATTAGTTGAAAATGGTGCTGATGTTGAATTTCTTGATATGGAAGGTAAAACAGCTTTATTTTACGGGATAAAAAATCGTCATGCTCAAATTGTAAATTTCCTTCTAGAGAAGGGAAGTGATGTAAGCAAATTCATCGATGACAAACAGTCCATATCAGTTTTGGATTTGCACTTTATTGTAGACTGTCCTTCTTCTGTTCAAAATATTGAAAGGATAATGTACAGGGCAGCTGAATTTGGTCGTATAGATATTTTAGAATATATAAATGAGCAGAAAGAAAAGGCACAGTTTCCGGAGTTAGATATGAATTTTCTGGTATATGTAACGTGTAAGAATGCTCAATTTGATGCATTGAATTATCTTATTAAAAATGGTTTCGATGTCAATTTTTGTGATGAACAACACACTACCCCGCTGTGCGCCGCGTCGGGTGAGGGAGACCTCTCCATTGTTTCCTTCTTAATTGAAAACGAAGCAGTTAACCCGAACCAGATTGATGTTCATCAAAAATCTGCGCTGCATTGGGCAACAGAAAATAGTAAGCAAGTTGTTATTGAATATCTAGTTAAAAAAGGAGCGTCTGTCAACATTCTCGATATAAATAAGACATCTCCTTTGCACAATTCCTGTGCTAAAGGCAATTACGAAATAGTGCGTTTTCTCCTGACACATGGCGCTGACTTGAATGTAAAAATGAAAGGGGGGGAAACTCCTCTATTCTGTGCTATTGCAAATGGACGACTTAAAATAATGGAACTTCTTATAAAGCGTGGTGCAGATATTCATACGTTCGATTCCAGAAATGTTTCACTATTACATTTAGGTTCAAGGTTGGGGAATATTCGAATAGTGCAAAGATTGGTTGACCTAGGCTGTGACACTAATAAATGCGACAGAAAAAATGGAAACGAAGACATTGTTGGACTTTCTTCCAGAAATTTTGCAAACGTGAATACTGCTGATTTACAGTGTCAGACACCGCTGCATATGGCAGTACAAAATAATCATACAGGTGTAATACAACTTTTACTAAAGCATGGAGCAGATGTCAATGCTGCCGACAAATTCGGAAAAACTGCATTTGATTATGCTAGTGACGAAATTCTAAACGAATTCTTGTTTGTTATCCTAGGAGCTTATTCATAAAGAACGACTAGTTAAATATTTCATATTGTGAAGGAATTTATCTTGTATAAACTTGGGAACAAATATCCTAACATTAGAAATATATATTCAAAAAATGAACTGTTTTTTTCAAAAAGAATTGCTTGCTTTCATCTATAAGAATTTCAATTGTATCTCATTTGGTCTTTACAATGAACATTACATCGAATATTGCCTGACTTTTAATGTAATTTTGAGACCATTACTGATATGTATAAAGTAAATCCTCTTTGCCAGATTAATACAAAATTTTTGTGGCTTGAGTGATACGACATTGGACGGCTAGATGACATATGGTCAAATGTTTCTCTTTAGGACAGATTATGATGCAAACAATAAATGAATGCCCGGAATGGTATCTATATTTTGGCCTTATTTTATTTCAAATGATGCAAATACTACATATCTAGAAAATGAAAAAATTGTAAACCTTCTATGTTGTTCAAAATTCTGCCTCTCTGAAACCAAAATATATAGACCCTTTTCCTATGACATATTTTGCCTAGGGGTTATTCCCCTTAGCCGCCATCTTGTAGGGCAAAGTAGTGAATTTACCTCTTTCAGCAACCAATTTTAAATATGCATGCAAGAAATATATGTTAGAAAATATTTAAATTTTAAAATCATGAATTAATAGAAGCCTTGACAAACGTATATTCATAAGAAAAATAGTGTTATCTTTACCTCATTAACCAGTATAACAAATTGAACTTGGTTGAATAATGAAGGGATCTGGATATGTTGCCCTACAATATGGCGCCTGAGGGGAATAACTCCTAGACAAAATATGTCATAGGAAAAGGGTCTATAGAAGCAGTTAGATTGTAAAATAATTCATATGCTTATCAAATAATACAAGAAACGTATTGACGCAAGCGTCAAAAATCGCCTGCAAACGAATTCATTGTTCCTTTCACGAAGCAGTTAGAAACTGAAATGCATTATCTGTTATTAAAACACCTAATTATACCTGAAAAGCGGGTGAGTATTTAGTAATCGGTATGTCCGTCCGTCCGTCCGTCCGTCTGTTACGCTTTGGGGTACTCTTCACTTATCTGCAACTCCTCTCATACCACTGGATGAAATTCGATGAAACTTTCACAGAATCTTTATTACATATTGCCATTGTGCATCTCCTGGTTTACTTTTTGATCCGACACAAATTTTTGGTTAACCGAGGCAAAATACACAGCCATTATATTCATATGGTAGGCGGGGGATATCATTTAGTCTCATTGCTCACAGTACCTCTAGTATTAATCTGTTAATATATCCTCGTGGCATTAAACACTAGTATGATGCATTGCAAGGTTTTATTCATACATAATTATTATACACATTATTACATGTCCTAGCAAAATACTAATAGGTATTCTTAAATCAAAGTTTTAAAAACCTGAATGTGAAATAAAATGGGAAAAGGAGTTTAATCTAGATGTAAACAGTAGTTCGTGGAAGATTAAAAGTAGGGTTATTTTTAAAGTTACAGGTGGAATGCAAATTAGATGGTTTCAATATCGCATTATGCACAGAATTCTTGCAACAAACACATTTTTAAACAAGATTGGGATTGTAGAATCAGAATTTTGTACTTTTTTAATGTACATCCATAAACACTGGAACATTATCTTTGGGAATGTGAATATGTAAGTGAGATCTGAGAAGAAATTCATGATTGGATAAAAAAAAATGTCTGGTATTGATTTTGCAATGAATAAATTGGACATAATTATTGTAAATTATTATAAGTCTTATAATATTGTAAATTTAATAACATGTATTGCAAAGAAGGACATATACCAAAAACGATGTTTCAATCAATTTCTTCATTTGAAGGAGCTAAAAGTGAAATTTTGTGTTATTATAAATTCGAGAAATATATTTATTTTCAAGAAAAACTGTGATATTGAGAAATTTGATAGAAAATGGAACTGTGTATGATTAGAACAAGCACTGCAAAATTGTTTTGTTTAAAAACCTCTGCTGTTCCAACTACTTACTATAGAAACAACGAATTTCTTTGTATCATTTAGATAATTAAGCTTGCATATACATATATTTATGATTGATTGAGAGTGCTGTTTTTTTTTCTTTTTTGTATATAAAAACTTCACCTGTCACAACTTACAAGATGTTTGTTATTATAAGGAGTTTGTCAAATTAGTTTGCGGAATCCAAGGCTCCCCAACCTTGGATGTAAACTTATTGATCACAGTATTCATGTGATGGGGTAATAAAAAAATTCAAAAAAGTTTAAACTTATCTAACTTAACTAGAGATAGTTTTACTTTAATAAAAATGCAACAAATATGTGGGGCTCCTCGCTTTCTCTTAGCGGACGTTAAAAACCCTAAAACTCACTCTAGATTCGCCACTACGTTTTGTTGAGATGCGGCGGGCAAATCTGATTTTGCACATTGTAAGACACGCGTTATCTCCGTCTGCTGGAGCAAAATCTCGTAATATTTTGTCTTTTAACAAATTAACATTTAATCATATTTTTGAATTTTTTCCATAGGATATGTATATCTCGAGCATTCCACAGATAAAAATACATGTATTTGTTCAAGAAAGAGATGAAGACATTAGCATAATAATTTATTATTACGCATCCTTGTATACATTCTGTTTGACTACGATCGTTGTTTCTGGTTGACCAGTCTCTGTTTTGTTTACATTCAAATCTATATCAGTTCTAGTGTATCGTTCTGGAAATATAAACAGTAAAGTCAAAGATACACCTATACTGCCCACCAATGTCCAGTTCATCCAGGCTGTACCTAGAAAATAAATATAAATTCAGTATTGTATCGATGTCATTAATAAAAGTTAAAACCTGTGATTTAAATAAAGAGCGAAGACAAGAAGAAAGACGAGGAGAGGTAAAAAAACAGTTTCCTAATTTTTTAAGATTTCAGTTATGATATTTTGATCCAATACGGAAACTTTTTCATTTTTCTTTTCTTTAATACCTACCTATATTTGGTATCTGTAGTACTAATAAATACAGAATTCCTATTATGCTGGAGAGGCACGTTAGAAATCCGCACGCTACCCCTTCTGACACGGGGAAAGCTGCCTCCGCCCCCAATTCATACAACAGAGGGGTGAATCCATTAAAAAACATCCCTCCAAAAATAATGGAGATATAAACTTGTTCTGAAATTTGAAATATACTTTGTTTATCAATTAATACAATACAACTAAGAAAATAAAATTACAAGAAAAATTTTATCATAAAATTTATTTACATTAAAAAAAATACAATAGAGATTAAATTTTGTTTAAAGAGTTTTAACATTGTATTGCTGGTAAAGTTGATATTACTTTATACATAGCTTCTCGGTGTGAAATATCATCATGTACATCGCTAAAGCTATGACTGTCCAGACATTTTATCTACATATTTTTTCTTTGTTGATATCTTTTATAAATTCAATAAATTAGCAGAGCATTTTTTTCAATTGATAATTAGTAAAAATTAAATTTTCCAATGTTATAAAATGAAATAACCAATGGATCTATGTACATAAATACCACCATCTACAGTATTTATCAAATTAAAACTTCAAAGTATGAATCATGGATTCAATATATTAAAAATATTTTAAAAATCCATTTCTCTTAGTTTTGACATCATTTTGTCTGCTAAGCATTAACGATTTGCCTTTACTAAGGCCTATATCACGATTTTCCCCCTAATTTAACAAGAAAGTCATTGCACATAACTATCCAAAAGCGTACCTGTAGAAAACGGTATAATCTGGACACGTAATAGTGTAAACCATAAAAATGATACCCCGGCTGCAGCCAACATAACCATACTAATCAGTTTCATATGCTTCATGAACATATCTGAAAATCTAAAATAAAAACCAAAAATCACATTTTGATTTGAAAAAATTCAACATTTACATTTCACTTTTCATTACCCAAGAATAAACCCTTGCTAAAGAAAAAAGATTGAGTAAGTGTTAGAATAAATCATTGGGAATTTATGGGTTACCTTCCAACTGCTAGACCTGCGACACAACCTGCTATCATTGAGTAAAAACCAATCCATCCAACCTCCGTCTAAAACAAATATAGTTGTATATGTCACAAGCTAAAAATATGAAAATGAAATAGTAGTATTCACCAACTATCTTTTTTTCGCTAGAAGTTACTGTAGATATTACAATCAATTATATATGACTGTATTAACTATCAATGCTAATCTGAAAGGAAATTAACTGCTAATATCTTTAGTCATAGAAAAATCAATATTCGTATAGAATTTTTTTCAGATTTTTTAAATTGGAGAATAATAAGGGTACTTTGATGGGTGTGAAGTATTATTTTAAGGAATAAAAATATGTAAAGCTGCCCAAATCATTATAATCCTTACTTGGCCTATTCCTACAGGTTTCAGGATAACACCAAGAACTGATCCCCATGCTCCGTACACTGGAATACCATATACCAATCCTATACACCATACTGCTTTGCTCCTTACCAAGAAAAGTAATGACACAAAAAGGAATAATTCGTGGATTTTTAAATTAATATCTGTTATGACGCCATAATAAAGTACTGAACAAGATAAAGGGTAAAAACGTTCACCCTTTGAAATCATCTATTATAACCTTTGATTTTGCTAAAATAATGCCAAATTGATTTCTGAAAACTTAATTCGACATACATTGTGCCTATTCGCTTTAACAGGTCGGTTTACACTACATCTTGACACATATGGAAGGCAATTTTCAACATTTTGCCACATGTCTTCTTATTTACACTATGTGTCTTGATGCATGCAAAGCATGACAATTTCTACGTGTTTAAAAAAATTCAATGGCAAATTTTTTCAGACTTATTTTACTGCACAATATTTAACTTTTTATGAAAATTCTTAAAAGATATAATTTATATTTATTCCGAAAGATTATAACAAAAACTCCTGCTATAATATTAATAATCAAATAAGTTTTTCTAATTAGTTTACAAACGCTTTGACATTTGCATATTTTCTGTAATTTTGAGTTAAATAAGAATTGCACAGCTATAAAACCAAGGACCTATATATACCTGCTAAAAAATAAGTATATCATGATGTTTTATCAACGATAGCACCTTTCTTTGAACAATGGTTTACGCCGATGTATTATAAGTTGATATAAGGCTTCATAAAGCAAATTTTGTAAATGTGAGCATAGAAATGAAAGATTATACACCATTTTAAATATTTCTTTCACAAATCTCAAAAAAAAGTATTGAAAATAAATTTCCAAGAGACAATTCAAGTTGCCCTTCATTTTCAACACAGCTGGGTACATGTAGTAGACCACAATGCATTGCGGCTAATTCAGCAGTAGGTAAAGTAAATAGATAGATAATTTACATGCAAATTTATGCTGACATCAGAAAATCTAGTGGTCTCGACCTGTTTAAGTCTGTGTTGAAAAGCAGTTTTTACCGAACAATGTATTCCGTTATCTGTATATGTTTTAAACTTACTGAACAATGTTCTTTAGCGCCTTCCTATACTCAACACGCTGTGTTGATGCTGACACACTTGGTGGAGTAGGGGGTTTTGCTGGCATTAAAAGACTTCCTAAAAATAACAGCCCTGCCACTGCAAATTCTAAAAGAAGGACAATTATGCAATAATTCTTTAAAATATTTATGAGATGAAGCTGTAGCCAAGGTTTGTGAAGTATTTTGATCAAAGTTAAGATAAAGTTTTGATCAAATTAAAAAGAGCTAAGTTCACTTTGAACATGCATAAAATGGCCCTGTCCTTATATCAATTAATAAACTATCGCCCCTTTTCCCATTTTGTTTCTCAAAATAAAAAGAGATTCAGTGCTTTCATTTTTTGTAATAAAATTTCTTTTTTGAGAATCAAAGTATTGGAAAACAGGCTTTGAGAAAATGCATTGTTCTTGAATTTTGTAGAAAACACATTATTTGACTACCTTCAACAAACAATTGAAATATGAGCACAGCCCACGATCTAAAAATTAAAACATTTTTTTAATCTTCAGAAATAGATATTTCATTATGTAACTGCATATTTTGGATCAGAAGTTGTGCGCTATGAAAAATATTTTTAAAAACACTTCAATTTTAGGCCATTTTCAAACGAACTTACAGGATATTGTGAAACTGACTCATTTTATGACGTCATAATGCATTGACGAAAGGGAAACTTACGCCATGTGCAATAGATACGCAGTCCCAACAATCCATGCGATAAATACTGCATTCACAACCTAAACTAAGCAGTTTTGATTTTTCAGAAATTCTCAAGGCCAAAAAAGGCCTTAAGTGGCTCTTGTTCTTTCTACTCTTATTGTGGATCAAAAGATGCTTTTAAACTTAAAGTGAACATCTTTTCAATTAAGCTTTGTTTTTAAGCTTCATGTACATATGTGTCAATGCGTCAAAGTTTCGACCTTATATTTTGTGCATTTTATTATGCAACAAGCTTTACATTATAAAAGAAGTTATTATATTCATTTAGTTCAAAAAGAGCATCCTAAACATATATTCTGTATTCGAAAATAGCTTCAAAAGATACACTATCAGAGATAGATAATGACTTTTTTGTTCACTGTTCGGAGATCAACTATAATGCTGATTAATTTAATGTTGGAGCAAAATGTTGCAATGAATATAAGAAGGGGTAAGCAAGAAGTGTTGTGATTAGATACGCAGCAAAATATCAATTTTGCATTCAAAAATTAATTCTTGTGTTACATTTGAATTATCTTACTTACCATAATACATGAAGTGCATGATGTCTTGACGCATTTTTGTAAAGTTTATCAATTCTGCAATGAGAATAAATCTTACATTTTGTCCTTAGTTTTCATATTTAGTCAATATCGAACTGTCATTCTAAATATGTTATCGCCCATTCTGATTACAACACACTATATTTGCATAATAATCAAAAAGTTATCCAGAGTTTGTTGTCCTTATCAATTTGATACAATGCAATGTACCGTACCTTGGGTTGAATTTGAAGTGTTTCTAAAATTGTCTTTTATTGTTACACCTAGATTTTCTTCTAAGCTAAAAATAAAAAAAGAACACTTTCTTTTTATATTATAAATACAAATGAGCGTATTAATTAAAATTGTATGCCATGTTTCATTTCAATAAAATATACCTGATGATTGTAGGTGTATAATTTTGGACAGGAGTTTTACTTTCATACTTTGGTGAATCAACCAGTTGTGGACCTGAAAAAAAACACACATAACAACAAGAAATAGACATGCAATGAAGTCAAATCTATCGTGTTTATAGTCAAAATGAAATATCACTTTCGTTTTGATTTTTAGACTTTGAAATTCCTGTTGATTACCAATAAGAAAGGCCATAGCTGAGCCTAAGAAATTGCAAACGTATATAACAGCTGTAGCACTTGCTCTCTGATTTGGCGGGAACCACGTGTTTGCGACCTGTGCAGGCCCAGCCCCTGGGACTGTTCCGGCAATTCCATTCAAAACAGCACACAGATTCATTAACCTGAAAGTTTATGAAAATATTTTACGAAAACATTACTTGTCTAATATGAACAATTATGTTCTGATATACATGTACCAAGAAAATAGTTGTTTGGCATTCATATCATCCTTTCATCTCTTCTTAAATTAGAGTATTTAATTTTTTGACATCAGAAGGTTTTCAACGTGACTGCAACTTATAAAATGATTGGTTTCTACTTGACTTAAAGGGGAATAAAATGACCCTTAACATCGAAAATTATAGAAACCATAATGAAATAAAACAAAGGTAGTAATTCCAAATACAAAATTTCATTTTCACCACTTACTTCGACCAGGAATAGGGTATTCAGAGTTTGTGTTTTAAGGGTTGGTATTGCTCTATTTTATGCTTATTGATTTTAATCACACGTAAGTTGTAGTTAACATACCTACCATGTGGCGTATGTAGGTTCATGTGTAATACATCTTACTCCTGTACCAACCAGAATCAGAGCCGTGCATATCAGGAAAGATACTCGTAACCCTTTTGTAAAAACCACAAAAGTAAATACTTCATTTGATATTTAATGTATACTTCATATTTATATTAGCTTTTGTATGCATAAATCATTCGTACATCTATTTTAACTTCATCTATTCTGTTAGTTTTATGTGTTAGGTTAATTTATCTCAGATAGTTATAATATTGAGTAAATTTTATCTAATATATTTACACACTGCCTTTAACCAAACAAGGTCAATTCTCAGTTGCCTCACATAAATTTTTGTTTCATATATGTCATTAACCATAATACTGGTATTTATTTTTAGAATATGAAAACACCGGAAGGAATATTGAGTGCAATCGACAATTTTCTGAATGCATGACTTCCTGTCACTTCAACAAGAAAATTAACATATGATATTTATATACCTTTTGTGTCCATAAAATAACTGGCCGGGAAAACAGTGATTATGTAGGCAGCATTTCCCCAATTGACAAACATTCCAAACTGACTATCCTCCCATCCAAATACCACTTCTGCCGACTTGGTTATAGTGGCCCAAGTGTTCCATACGGCGGCTTGCAGAAAGGAAGCTAAGCCAAATACAGCAAGGACGTACCATCGCCTCTTGTAAATTTTGTCTGTACTTTTCTCCTTATTTTGAAAGAATGGTTGTCCTTCATTGTTTGCGGCATCGACATCGTTTTGAACTGTTACGTTCAATGCATCACTGCGTTCACGTACCGACATAATGTTTTGTTAGTATTAAAGTCAGCAGTCAATTTGCACATTCTGCATGCTTTATGGAGATCACATCACAACAAAGATCGTTTACACATCAAGAGGAGGTGAATACATAGGGTTAAAGATCACACAATAAAAATAACATTAACACACCACCAATAGGAGTAAACTATCCACTTTAGCTTTGTCAATTATCGCGCTTTAAAACATCTTGTGCGAAAGGTAAACAAACTCTCAGGTGATTAAGGTCACGTGAATCGATTTTAAATACACCTGTAGTTGTTAATGATATAAAGTTTTTACTTGTACACCTACATTTTGCAATTAAATGCAAGTTTTACAGGGTACCTCGTGTGCCGACAGAGACGATATGGGTCATTCTCAAAAAATGTCCAGATTTCAGTGAATCACGTTTTCTGGTAAATATTTTAATAAAATAAAAACTTTTTTGTGCTCATGAACTTAACAATGATCTAAAATTGGGAGGACAAATATAAGTAGGATTAAAAATTGATATAAACACTGAAAAAAAATCCTTCAACATGAGTTAAATTAAAGAAAATTGCTTGTGATTTCGCCGAGGGTGTATTTTCAACCTTCCTTATTGAGACAGTAAATATAATTTGGGAGTATAAAATACCTTTAATGTATTGTAAATACTTAACATTGTTTAAAAACATGCTAAAAGGTGACTGACAAAAAGTAAGAATATAATTTTTTAAACAATAGACTTTAAAAAAAAAACTCCGTGTCCTTGGAGTAACCAAGACATAAAAGTTATCTGTAACAGTTATTTTTCCTGAAGGAACTCTTCAGCATCAGCTGCCTTCTAAACATCTTCTACCCGCCAAAATATAAAAAGACACAAAACACGTGTGTTTCACCCTGTAGACACAATATTTGGTTTCAGTTGAGTTTGGTTGAAGGAGTAATTTATTTTTAAGTCCTTGGAGTTACTTAAATAATGTGAAGATAAATTAATATATAATGTTTGTGATGCATTGAGCGACTTTGTAGTGAAATACACATGATGTAGGAACTGTGCTCTATCTTTTTAAGTCAGCCATAACTTTTATACTTGTAACTTTTGATGTAGTAATTCCCTAGCGTTACTGTCCATTTTGTTACTGTAGGAAAAGTTACTCCAAGGACGTTTTTAATTACTCTATGGACAATCTATACAGAATTTTATTAATAAGAATGCAATTTCGATTCATCTATTTTATCTTCCTACTCAAAAATAATATATCAACAATATTTGTATCATCTGTTCATATGTTTTACATATAATGTTTCATACATGCTACAAATTAATTCAATAATCTATACAAGTAACACAAAGGACAAATTTGGTAACTCCATGGACGTCAAAATGATGAAACATTTACATTATAAATATACTCTTGTATTTACACCTGTTTCAGCAGTAGAGTAGAGAGTCTTTATTTATTTTGAGTAAATTGAAATATCAAAATTTCTTATGAAATACATCTTTACGCCTTTTAACCTTGTAATACTTAGCTGTGGTAACATGATAGACAATTCAGTTACTCAAGGGACACACCAAGCATTTAAGATAGAAAAATGAAATAAAAATATCACATATGAAGTCGTAATTGTGTTCAATGTATAAAACAAAATAATTGCGGAGAGATGGTACAATTTAAGTTACATTAAAAATAATGAAGGCCTTAAAAATAAGATGATTAAAGTGGTAACTCCAGGGAAGGTTAGGAACACAAGGGAATGTGAAATAAGAAACCAAGATTTTATGAAAGATGATATTTTTTTTTACTCTGAACCTGTTGATTCTATGTCATGTTCTCTCGATGAAAATACATGTATTGAAAGGACGAAACATTTTAAAAGTTGCAAAAAAGAGGGCCAGACAAGTGAAATCTAGATCCAAGGAACCCTAAAAGTAACTTCAGGTGGAGAACATTTGACTATTCTTGGAATGTGTATTTCCGACAATGAAATAGTTACGGATTTTTCATCACTATATCAAAAGCGATATCAAAAGATTATCTTTCCGAGGAACAATGCATCAGTCACCAATCGTGAAATTATGTTTGAATGTAGATGAAAATACTCTTCATGCAGATTTGTCTAATTAATTTTCCCCATAAAGGTTGAAAATTGTTTGTAAACCTTGCACTATAGAAGTATATTAAAGCTTTTAGAAATGAAGTTAGAGCAGCTGAAGTAAGAGTGGACATTACAGTAGAGGCAGCACTTTATATGGATCTCTATCTTTTGAACCCAGCATGTCTTGAAATTCATATCAAACAACAAATGGGCATTGGGCAAAGGTATATTCTTTTAATTCTGGTGAGTATACATACAGCTGATCAACACATATATAACATAAAATCAAATAATAGTAATTTATGAATAGGAAAGGCAGACAGTCGGGGTTTTAGCGGACAAAAGAGTTCATATTAAGAGAAACCAGAGCAACCAGAGTTCCAGAATGGAGAAAAATTCGAATAAAAATACTGAAAAAACTGAGAACCAGGAAAAAGAAACCAGATAAAGATGCTGAAACACAGAGACAACTTCAGAATGCATACATGTGTGATCAAATCAGTAATGAAAAAAAAACTAAATACGACCAAGAACTTTAAAAGATGAATATTAGTACAATATAGGTGATGCTTTGGTTATAATTCGACCTCCACATCCTGTAGGTAGGAAATATCAAATAGATAGCCCAGTGTGGAAGGAGTCTGTATGTAAAACAACAAACAAAATGAGATGTCCTTTGTGTTATCTTTTGTCTTTGGTGTTACAACTTCTTTTTACTCAAGCCCTAGAGGGGCTTGAGTTATCTAAAACGATGCTAGGTCATCGAATTACTCAGTTTAAAATTACAAAAATATATTATTTTTGTAGATAAAAATATTTCTAAAAACAAAAATGAAGCTTATCTTGAAAACGTCTGTATATTCAAAGATATTAAGTGTTAATAGCGGATTATTTTCTATGGCGAATGAACAATGAGTGAAGCGTCGCAGCCGCAACAGTTTCTATACAGAGATTTCACGCTTTCCTTTGCGTATGAATCTCAGGTAACTTTTTACAGTCGCCGACAAAGCATCCTTGGACGAGTCCACTGCAGACTCTGAAAGGTGACGCAGGTTACCCCACTGTTAACAAATTCTACAATGCATGGCCAGAAAATGTATGGCTGTACCCCCTTACTGAAATGATGTGTAATTTGAAAGACATTTAAATAAAAGCACAAAATCAATGTTAAATTCTCGTGTTAAGCTTTGATACCGGAACTTAAATAACTTCTTTTGGTTCGTACGGAATATGCATTGGACATGCTGCTCAGATAGATGAACCCCATCGTCTCAAGCCACGGTCCGGAGTAGGAGAGAATCGTACATTTTGTCCGTGGTTTGCAACGATGGATGAACCCGTACTCACGTGGATTTTTGAGCCCGCGGAGCCCCCCCCCCCCTTCCACTTTGAAAAACTTTTCTACAGGATTTTAGCAAGCTATCTTAATTGATGTATATATTGAATGAGATGTACGTCATTAAGCAAAAAATACAAAAACGTATATAGTTTGAAGTACATGTATACTAAATGTCTACATAAAAAATATTTCATTCAGAAACGGAAACGTTACTATGCTCTATAAAATATGAAAGTGTGTCACGTAAATTCATCTTAAAAAGTAGTACGATTAATAATAATGTTTTTTTTTCTAATAAAATTCAATATATGAATGTTGTTTCATGTATATATACAGTCATGTAGTTTATTCAACAGAAAATTGAACTCGATAGCCCTCATCTTTTACCATTTTAGGATAAATTAATGATACTTCCTAACTGACTTTCTACAGCTTGAGTATTTCTGACGTTTTGTCAGTATATACTTGTTTGATTTACAAATACTTGTACATGTACCGATGATCAGTGATTCTAGGTCCAATGTTAGTAATCCTTTATTATTCATGCATAGCTTATTTTTATGTTTTGTTGATGTTCACGTATCTTTATAATTAGACAATTATGTCTATGTTGTTACTTTTTAATCATTGGTGTTACTTGTCAGACTCCAAATGTAAAAAGAAATGAAATCCCAAGAAATATTTTTCTTAAAACCATATACTTTCATTAACATCTATAAGATAATGCCATTGTTGTGCTTTTTGCGGGGGAAGAGGCACAAATTTATTATTTCTTCTTAAGGTTTGAACAAAATGTCTTTTGTGTTACTTTTATGTCCTTTGTGTTATGAAAATATCATTGGTGTTACTAAACCATTTTTCCTAAATCTATACTCTAAATCTTTCCACAATTTTATCAAAACTTGCCACACAATCCTGTTGTCTTCTAATACAAAGTATATTCACAAAGCCAGTGTTTAATGCTGAGGTATAATGACATATGCTTAAGGTATATTTGTTAGAATAATCAAATTTTATAATTTTAACAACTTTCAGCTTTATGTCATCTAAAATTTTTCTCTTAAGAACCCTCAATTTGTTTTGATAGAATATTTTTTATTAGGATGTTGAGATTATGATTCTATAAACCTTAATTTTTTGTAAATTATTATTTTATTGCGAATTCTAAGTAAGTAACACCATGGACATTTTTTTGTTGAATGCATGTACTTATAATAGATTTTATAGTAAATGTTGATAGAATTCTTAGTGTTTCAACATTATTTACGCATCTCTGATGTTTCATTACTAACATAAAACTTTAAAATATTTAGTTCTCAGGATTTATTTTCTCTGAATTCTGTTGGTGGAATCTGGACAAAATTTGAGAATGACCCATATACTTAATCTAATGGCGAGAGGAAGAGTTAAACAATACCTAGTGCATGTTTTTGTACTGTGTTTCTATATACATCTCTATATGACTTATTAATTTATATATTTATTAGATGAAATCATGTAAGTTTAAAACAGATTCACATGTGGGCCAAAAATGTGGTAAATGTTGAACAAAGTATCACAAATAAATGATCATAAAACATTTTTAAAAAGGAGATTTAATAAAGCAAGTTATTCTATATATATATTTTAAGACAACCAAATTAAAATATTTATCCGTGCGAATATACATCCATGTACATGTCTTTTTTGAAATTTACGTGAAACTCTAAACCATTTGTCAGAATGAAATTGACATTTTTTACATAGCGAGAATGATTATTGTTTTCTGTTTACTGACAAAAACTTTTTTTCAGTTTCAATTCAAA